CTCGCAACTGGACCCAGGCCGCCACGCAACCGGCGCCTCTGCAACAAAAGCGGGGCGAGCTCGGTCCGGCGTCGCCACAAGGGCGGCGCGGCCGGCAACGCGGCGTGATGAAGCCAGCGGGCCGAAACGGCGCCGGGCCGGAGCGGAGCTGGAGCGGCGTGCAGAGATGGGACAGGACACCTGCCGGCGGGGGGCCGGCCGTTTGTTGTGGGAGGATGGGCGGGTGACGTGTCGCCGCTCAACGTCTGGAGGCCATTAGTGTAGCGCACCGGCGCTCTCCAAGGCCGAGACACTTAGTAAGTCCGTAACTCTGTAAGGGGACCGCATGTCCAGGAGGCATTGTCTCGTCCGTGAGCTAAAAGCCTATCCTGGTATTCACGGACGATGGCTATGGAGCATTTTGAAACATTTTAGGGCCTTGGCTTCTGGAGAGAACTCGCCACTGACGCAGAGAAGCTATAGTGCCAGTCAATATGGAGAAAGTTTTCTCACCACGTAGCGCGGAAAGGACACGTTTTGCGGTGAACGTTTGTCAGATGGCTACAAATGCCTAACTTACATTTCCCCTAGTCCTCAGCACAATGCGTGCAGGTCCGATCGCATAAATGAGTGAGCATTTCTCGCGTCTTACCGCTACTCTTTACGGGCCGGTAGCACGCCTCGTCCAGTCAGACATCCACCGCTGTGAGGGACGCGCTGCAGCGAGACTGGTCCAGATCTCACCGCCCGCGAGAGCCCCTCTGGCGCCAGCGGCCGGCATGAACACAAGTCATCCACGTCATCGGAGCTCATTTCGATCGGCTCGTGCCAGGGGCGGCGGCTCGGCGGACCGGCACTCCTCCTCCCCTGCCCCTCAGTGGAGTGCCCGTGACTCGGGACCGCTGGCCGTTGTGTAACAGGGCAGGGTCAGCCCGGGGGGTGACCATGAAACGTGCTCGGGCTACTCACGCTCTCGGGTCAGGGGTGGAAGAAAGGTTTAGAGGGTCTAGAGGTAGGCGATGAAATAGGCGTGATGTCTGTTGGATGATCCTACCTGGACAATCTTGGTAAGGACCCCTCTCCTGAGCATTCGTGACATTTCAGGATTTGTTTGCTGGGAGAATCTTAACTTATGTTTAGATATTAAGAAAAGGTGTGACAAGAAATGATTCATACAGCTGTCACTGCGTATTCCAATCCTCTACAATGGTGGTTTCGTTGATATTAAGGATCCTTAATGACCTCGAAATAGATATCCTGACCTTGAAACGATCAACAGCCCGAAGCAGTCAACAGGCTCTCTAGTGGTCACGCGTTCTCAGAGACGGCCAGACCTCCGACGGAACACATCCACAGCACATACCTGAGTATACATGCGCTGCTGTATGTGCCACAGCTTCTCTCTCCTGACATGCATGATGCGCCCAACGAAAGCTGTTGTAGCAGGCTATCAAAGCTCCACATCTGTCCTACGTGCGTCCTTGATGCGTTTTTGCTGTTTTTGCCGCGAGGACCGCTCTCCAGGCGATGGCGAAGGCCACGCGATGGGCAGTTAACGACCAGAGCGCACATTCATGATCCGGGAGGCCCGGCAGGGCGCTTTTTTATTGGAAGCAAAGCTGGCGCTGCGTTTAATGTAACGAACAATTCAGGCCAGGCCCGCAGCTAGGCCATGACTACGGTAACGGAAGTTTGTAGAGAGTCACTACGATTTCCTTCGTTTGTCAAAGGGCCACGCCTTTCCGCAGCAGCTCAAAGGGGAGCACGAACACCACCTTGTGTCATTAGAGTTTTACGTCACACTCAACTACTGAGGCTTTGCGGTGTCACCTGCTTCTCACCTTGGCACGAAGGGCGAGGACCAGCCTTCCTGCCCCTCCCTTTGGCTACGTGCTTGCTTCAGGCGGAGGCCCGCCTCACTCACCGCCGCGCTGGACCGGAAGCCATTCGCGGCCGCCGCCGTGGCCGAACACAAACGGCGACAACGAGGCTCATGATTGTAACCACGGCAGCGGTAGACAGCGACCCCGCTCTGCCGCTTGTGATCACTGGAGAGGCTAGCCGCTGCTGGTGACCCACGTCGCCGTCAGATAGCGGGTAGGACGTCTGCCGTCCGCGATCGCAGACGGCGTCAGACGTGACACCGGGACAGAGGCCCTTATCTCTCAGCGCGGCCGTAACACGAGAGGCCGGGGCGCCGCAGACACGCGCGCCGCTGCGCGAGTCGGCGCGCAGTTCATCTGACCTTCAGCAGCCATTTGCATGCAGTCGGCGGACGGACGCACGCGGGGCGAGCAGCGCAGGCGCCGCGCAGCGCCCGGTTACCGAGCGACGGACCGGAGCGACGGCGCCCCGATCCGGATGCCGGCCGGTCAGACGAGGCCGCCGCGCCGGTGCGATTATGATGGGCGGGAACTCACACTGGGCAATGGTCGGAGGCGTGCGGTGAACTGTGCGGTGCTGAAGCGATTTGTTCGTGATTTGTGTCACGCTGCGGAGAGATGATAGCGTCGGACCACGTCGGAAAGCAAGAGCGGAGGGCAAACGAAGTCGTTGTTGAACTGAAACCTCATGTTCCGTCAGAGACGGTGCTGAACTGGGCGTTGCGAGACGGGTCGGTCAGGGGTCTGTAGAAGGTTTTTTTGCTGAAGCTTGGCAGACGTTCGAAATACCATGGTGAAAGTCTATAACTGCGAGTGGTTTGTTGCATGATGCTCGAAGTTTGGATCAAAAGTTCCAAGTGGCATATTTGATGCGGATTTACACGACGGATCCCACCCCACAACGCCAACAATTTGACTCCAACTATGCCGCAAACCACGAGCCGCACGGCATGTTGAGGAGAAATACATCCGAACTACCAATAGGCGAATTCGACGTCACCATCTCTCATTTTCGATGACAACACTCCTGCAAGCTGAGAAACGGGTGTGTTTCCATTTTGGGTGGTTTTCAATGCCACGATATCGTTTGTTGGAGCGAAACGCTTGGCGTTGATTCCAAACTGCGTTAGGGGCCTTTGGAAGCGAAGCTACTTTAAAAGAACTTCAAGCTGACCATTTCCAGACTGCTGGCATGAAACGCATCACACGGACCCTATTATTCCTTCTCCTGTTCGATAACATTAGAAGCGCCGTTGATGCACGTGCATGGTTGCAATCCAGTCTCTTCACCACATATACCACGAACAGCAACCAGCAGATAAAGATGGAGTAGCACTGGAGCATGAAGCGTGCCATGCATATTCAGCGTTTACACTGCGTAATCCGCCAAAAGACTGTTGACTTCGCGCACATTGTACACTCAAAAGCCCAAACAGAACGGTGAAAGCACTCGCTCAAAGTGTCACCCAATGTACTCATCTCTAAGCCCCTGGTCTTGGCATTGTGACTTGGCCGCTTACGTTTTCACAGCAGGTATAGGTTAATGCGAATTAGGAAAAATGTTCTCCCGAAAGAATCCAAAACAATGCTTGCCATGGGAACGGTGCCATCCTTTTACGTCGAACATTGAAACAACTCGTCACTCAGAGACAAGTTCCGCACGAATTTTCCACGGCTTGGATCTCGGAATGAGGCCGCGCGTGTGCTTTGTTCCGGAGCGTTGGGAACTACTCTACGGAAGGGGAAGAGCAGCTGCGGAGAGAGGGCAGGAGAGATGGGTGGTACAAAATCAGCTTCCCAAACAAACTGGCTTTATTTGTAAAAGCTTGGGATTGAGCTGCTACAATAAACCCCTAAGCTTTGGGCCATCATCCTAACCCTTTTGCCTTAGCGATCAAGGAAGCATAGGGCTAAGAACAACAATGATTCATTATGCCGTTTTCCACTCCCCTCACCTGTCTCGACAGTCTCTCTTACCGTCCGTGAATGGCTACCTTGTCTTTGTACGTCCCTCTCCTTTCTCTTCTCTCTCTCTCTCTCTCTCTCTCTCTCTCTCTCTCTCTCTCTCTCTCTCTCTCTCTCTCTCTCTCTCTCTCTCTCTCTCTCTCTCTCTCTCTCTCTCTCTCTCTCTCTCTCTCTCCTCTCTCTCTCTCTCCTCTCTCTCTCTCTCTCTCTCTCTCTCTCTCTCTCTCTCTCTCTCTCTCTCGTTTGCTCCGATGCTCTGTACTCTGTCGTGTGGGTGGCCGCCGCCCAGCGATGACGGCCGTGTTGGCATAACGGTAAAATCAGCGACATCTGCGCGCTGCCGGCACCCGGCGGCGCCGCCCCTCTCTCCGCCCGCTCTCGCTGCCAGTCGCTCTGCCCGCGGCAATGACAGTGCCGTGTCTGTTGGACGGCAGCTGTAGCGAGCGGCGCTGCCCGTCATTTGGCGCAGCAGGGCCGGCCCACTCCGCCCGGCTCAGCACGGACGGCGCTCCCGCGTCGCTAATGACCCGCCGGGTAGCTGTCGCCAGTCGATACGCAGCGAGCCCGCGCTTGAAAACCGATCAACCGCCCGGCTGATGCCCGCCTTCCTGTCATTCACGTAATGGCGCTTAATGATGCCACCAGCTTCATCCATGCTCTATTTAAAACCACGATGCATCGGTTCGACGCATGAGCCAGGCTCCTCAGAGATTATGATTGAGGCTGGCTCATATGCTATAAGCGATGGGAAAACCTGACTACAGTTAATCCTGATGATTTATGCCCGGAACACGAGCTTCGAAGCACTGACAGAACAGTTTTTTGAGAGGCTCCTTCCTGGAGCACGAACTTTAACCCGGGGATGCTGCTGCACTCCGATTCCAAGCTAGTAACTAACTTACTTTAACCATCACAAATCTAACCAAATACTTATATACTTCGTAGCATTGCGTTATCTGCACAGAAAGCTAATTCGCTTCATTCATTTCCACCAGAGATGAATTAACATGCATAGACGTAACATACGCAATGCACGTGCGTGGTGCATTCACACGCATTCGCGAGAAAACTTGAGCCGCCTAACAGTTTCCCGACAGGTCGAAGTAGGCGCCCGAGCTACGCGCGCCCCTCCGATTCGCCGCTCGGACCGTATGGCGTCGCCGTCGTACTCACCAGGTAGGGCAGGTGGTTCAGCGCGTAGCAGAGCACGGTGACCAGCGCCACGGTCGGCCAGCGGAAGTCGCTGAGGCGGCGGGCGGCGCGGCGCCGGCGCCGGTTGACCGGGTGCGGCAGGGTGGCGACGCCGGTGCCGGCGCCGGCCGCGCCGTATCGGGGCGCCGCGCCCGCCGAGCCGGACGACGTCGACGTGTCCGAGGCGGTGTGGTTGAGCGGGTTCAGGTCGGAGTGCGCGTGCCGCAGCCGCGGCCTCAGACAGAGCAGCGTCTGCACGGCCAGTACAGCGCCGGCCGCCACCAGCGCCAGCAGCACATGCAGCGCCAGCAGGAAGACGGCGAACTTGCCGCTGATGCGGTAGGGCAGGAAGGTGCAGGCGGCCGGCTGGTCGGCGGCGTTCTGCCCGGCCGAAAACAGCGCCGCCGTCCCCACCAGCACGGCCACCGTGGCCAGCACGCCGATGTGGTAGCGGATCTGGTTGCGGCGCACCGAGTAGCGGTACTTGTAGGGCCACTGGGCGGTCAGCACGCGGTCGGCGGCCATGGACGCCACCGTGGATGCCTGCAGAGTACGCAGCGCCGTCCAGGCCCACGCGAAGGCGGCGCAGGCGGCAGCCGCGTCCGGCCGCATCAGCCGCAGCAGCGCGAAGCCCAGCGCCAGAACGGCGGCCAGCAGCTGCTGCGCCAGCACGGCCACGAGGAAGAGGTCGACGGTGCGCCAGCGACCGCGGCAGGCGTGCAGCAGGGTCAGCACGCCGACGGCCAGCGTGACCTGGAGAGGGGCGGCGGCGGCGGCCGCCACCCACCCGTACAGCTCGACCGGCTGCATGGCGTCCGGTGGCGTCAGGCGGGCGTCACATCGGCGCCGGTCACACCTGCCGGCCGCCGCACAGGGGAGTTATGGCGCGTCCGCTGACGCCTGCTGGTGTCAGGCGGGGTAGTTGACGCCTGCTGGCGTCGCGGTAGTTGACTCCTGAGGGCGTCAAATCGGACATCAAATCTGATCACATGGGCCGATCGCAGCGGAGTTGCAGCGACGACTCGGTCAGGACTGTTACCGTCACAAGGGGTGTAACTCTGGATCCGGGGCACCTACTTACGCCAATAGCAGCGAAACAATGACACTGGTGAGACACGCAAATGGCGACGTGACGTTGGCTCTAGCGGTGCCCGTGCAAAATAGGAGTGTCATATCGGCTCTGGTTGCACCTGTAAATGGCCGGTGCGATGCATCATTTTGTCCGGTTTTTAGTATATGTCCCGAATGAAGTATAACGGTGTCTCTGATGACACTCACTTTTGTCAAATGGGGTGTAACATCAGATTTGGTGTCACCGATAGGTGCTTCAGTCGTGCTGTAGCGCAACATGGTGTTAGATGTTCGAGAAGTCCGGGTTTTGGTATCACCCTTCAATTAGTTCGCGATGCGTGTAATTGTCCTCGTCATTAGTGTCGACATGTTTCCCACCAACAAAAGTTGGGAAACCTGAACACAGCCGGCAGTGCGTCTCCAAGGCATGCCAGTCCGATCAAGCGGCTGGCGTTCTACGATTGAGTTTTGCTTCGATCGGCACCCACGTCGATTTCGAAAAGACCTCAGGGAGCGTGGGGTCACATGGGATCAAAATCAGATCTCTTTCTCTCTCTATTCCATCTCCCCCGGTCTGCTCTCTCCGGTCCCGCCCGGTTTTCGGTCGCCGGTGACGGACGGAGGGCACGGGCAGCCCGCTGAGCGCGACTTCAGAGAAACGCACCTCCTTTCCGGCCGTCGTGACCCGGCCTCCCCGGCTCCTCGGCGGCAGATGGCGGCGAGCGTGCGCCGCCGCATTGCCGCCGGTTGGCGCGACTTTCCAGAGCCAATTACGCCCCGCGCGCCTGCGATGTCGTGTCCGACCGCTTCCGCTTCGCCGCTGGAGTCGGCCCGCGCCGGACGAAAGTGTCTCGCGCGTCCCCATTGTTTTGGATTTCCTCAGCGCGGTGACCGCTTGGCGCCAGCAAGCGAGACGCTGCCGGACAGCGCGGTCGCGGCGCCGGCCGCCACTTCTCCCTCGCGGCGGTCGCCGTGCCACGAAAGGCTCATGTCGCTTGCCCCGCCCGCCGGCCCCCTTTCTGGGTGTCGGCTCGCGGCGGACGAGCGCCGCATTCCGAACATACGCGAGCGGGCGGCGGAGGGGACGAGGTGGGACGAGACGGTAAACAGGACCACCTCGGAGCGAGGGCCATCCCATTCATTCACCGCGTGGGCCAGCGCCGCGCCGGCGCAGGGCGCCGCGTGAGCGGGATGAATGGGCTAGGTGGCGGCGCTCGTTTCTGGGCTCGCCGTCTGGATGTAGCATGCCCGGCTATCCCCCCCCCCCCCCCGGAGTCGTGAGCGAGCTGCCCGCCCCGGTCCCGCCGCACCGTGAGGGGCGCGCCCGGGATTGACTGTTGCCCAACGCTTGTCACGACCACAGCTGTGAGCCAAGTCGTCGCCGCGTGCCCGCCTCCACAGCAGCCGCTGGGAATTTACGATTCTATTTGTGAAGGTGTGAAAGCGCTTAACACCTCACACTTGACACCGCCGATCGGTTCCCTTCGATAACGCAAGCTGCTGCGTGGGAAGAAAGTGTGCACCTACGTGCGTCACCTCCGTGAATGTGTTACTGGCGTGCCATGATCTATGGGTGTCTGTAATAATGCATACAAACTCCCACGTGGGCTAGTTGTGGTCACAAAGTGTGATCTGAGACAAAGCCGATAATCGAAATGCATGCGTCCTTGCGAAAGCGAGACAGCTATCGCACAAGGCATGCGTGGACAAATGGGACACGTAACCGACTGCATACTGCTGACGAGAAGCGAGGGTCGTTCAGGAGCACGTGGCGTGATGGGACCGCGGTTTGGGGATCTGAAGAATGCTAGCTGCATTGCCTTGAGGAACAACGCCGTAAACGTTCCTTTTACAGTTGCTTTAACATTCTATGATCCTAACAACAACATTTATCTCATCTTTAGATTACCAGAACGGAAACGCAACATTGCTGAAAGTGCTCGCATTATTGCATCCTAAGGTGATTGGCAGGCAATAGCAACAGACATAGCCGATGCGGCTAACTGGGTAATAGACTCTCGTACGCCCGTAGCCGGCAAAGAGCCATTCCTGAAAACACGCTATCTGACACGCTGTCTGACACGTTGGTCGTTCCGGTAAGTGCGCGGGGCATGCCGGCGACTGTGGCCGGCGGTACGGGTGACGACGGCCCGGACCGAGGCCCACCCTGCCCGGGATCTCCACACGTGCTGCCGGCGACAGTGGCCGGCGGTACAGGTGACGACGGCCCGGACCGAGGCCCACCCTGCCCGGGATCGCCACGCGTGCTGCCGGCGACTGTGGCCGGCGGTACGGGTGACGACGGCCCGGACCGAGGCCCACCCTGCCCGGGATCTCCACACGTGCTGCCGGCGACAGTGGCCGGCGGGACAGGTGACGACGGCCCGGCCCGGGCCCACCCTGCCTGGGATCTCCACACACGCTGCCTGGCGGCGTCCGGCCGGCACGGACGCGCTCCCCGGCGGCCTGAAACGTCGCGTGAGAGGCCGGCGCCGGACGCTTCGGCCCGACCATGATGGAGTGTCCCAATCACCATTAGCGCCGCTTAATGGCTGTCGCCTCAATGAGCAGGAAGCCGCGAAGGAATGCGCGCCAGGCTTTGGGGCCTTGACGAGGTGATCACGGCCCCAATAGGAATCGCGGGGCACAGTTTCTACTTTACGCGAGAGTAGTTCGTTCCTTCATAATTGCAGCCCAGCTGTACAAAGACTTCGGCGCTGAATTAGGGTAACGGCCACGTGATAGTCTTCGCCATGCTCCTTTCACTAAACGCGCAACAGATGTTATCTGCACGGTTTCTTGCATAAATGAGGAGAACGCGGTGGATGGGGAGGGAAAGAGCGAGGACGAGGGAGAGAGGAACGTAGAGAGTAAGGAGGAGGAAGAGAAGAGAGGGTGGGGGGAAGGAGCGAGAGAGGGGCAGAGGGGTGGAGAAGTAGAGCGTGAGCGGCGGGCTCCAGACGATGACAGTGCGGGATCGTGCTCGGTCCGGCTGTCAGCGCCCATTCGCTGGTCCGGTGACAACACTCTTGTCGCCTGACTCCGAGGCGACCGGCGCTCGCCGCAAAGCCGAGCCACGCTGCCACCGTTTGTTCGCGGTATTTGAAGTCACAGGGCGTAAAATCCGGTGCGGGAGCCGCCGCGCTGGGCCGTGGCTGCAGCACCGCAGCTGCACTCATCGACTCCAGGCGTCATCCAAGAGGTGCTGCCGGCCGCGCCAGCGTCATGGCTCCGTGCTGATGCCCCACACGACGCCACTTCCCTCAGAGTGGCTCAGGACGACACAGTGGTCTTCGTGGCCTCCACAGCACCACTGTGACCTTTCGCCAGCGTTCATCCCCGCCATTACGACCTCAGGAGCCCGTCCCTGCCAACAGGAGTTGAGCTCGGTCGGCGGCGGGCTCGGCGGCCAGCGCCGGCCGGCGGCCAGCTGGGCCGGCGCGCGCGCTCGCCCGCTCGGCAGTCGACATGGCCGGCTGGCCCGGATCGGCCGGCCGCTGACCTCGATAGGTCGCGCCGTCGGCCGCCGAGCAGGACCTCCCGCCGGCGCCTGCCGAGCAGCGTCGGCTGGCGGCGCGCCAGCGCGGCGCGCGCCGCCGGCCGCAGACGACCGGCTGCTGGGCAACGGCGGCACTTTCCACCGTCAGGGAGAGACGCGCGCGTGGCGAATGCTCCCTGGCTGCCGCTTGCCTCGCTTGTGGTCGATTGCTTGCGGTCTGGTTCGTGATCGGGCATTGAGCTGTTCGCAGCGGGAAACATTTCTGAAAGGACCTGCTCGTCTGGACGGCCTTAACGTGGCGCGGCTGCTGATGATCGATTGGGAATCTCGATTCTTAGGCTTCGTGCTGATTTCAGTTTGAGATCCTGATAGCTGTGCCGTGAGAATTGCCCTGAGCGATAAATGTGCACGATGGCGATATTTTCGGCTTATCAGCATGCGTGAACTTAGACTCAGAGGTGTTTGCCAGCCGCAGAGCCTGCGGAAAGTTTGGACGGGCGCTGCATTGCCCCTTTACCTG